CCACCCTCCCCTCCCCCACGGTACCCGAACCCACCCTCCCCTCCCCCACGGTCGACTCGCCTGCTCCCCCCTCGCCTCGCCGCCCCCCTCGCGCCCTCCGCCCCCTCGCCTCTCTACCGCCCCTCACCGCCCCTCCCCCCCCCCTGCCTGCACAGGTGGCGATGGAGGAGCAGGCGCTGGACAGTGACGAGCAGATCAACGTTCGCTGGGCGTACGACGACCCGAACCCGCGCGCCCAGGCTGTCAAGCTGCGCAACGCCGCGCAGCAGATGCTCGCCGCCATGGAGAAAAAGGGCGGGCTCTTCCTAGACACTTCCTAGACACTTCCTAGACACTTCCTAGACACTTCCTAGACACTTCCTAGACATGCTCGCCGCCATGGAGTAGAAGGGCGGGCTCGACCCGCCGCCGGTCTCGGCTCACCTCGGCGCATCTCGGCTCACCTCGGCGCATCTCGGCTCACCTCGGCGCATCTCGGCTCACCTCGGCGCATCTCGGCTCACCTCGGCGCATCTCGGCTCACCTCGGCGCATCTCGGCTCATCTCGGCGCATCTCGGCTCACCTCGGCGCCCGTCACTCTCCAGGTGAGCTCGACGCGCCGGCGCAGTACCCGGACGCCTCCAGCGTGCCCGACGGCGACGGCTCGCTCGAGGCGCACGCGACAGCCGCGACCCGCCACGCCTCCCAACCTGCAGCACTCGCCCACGCGTGGGGACACTTCCTAGACACTTCCTAGGCACTCCCTAGACACTCCCTAGACACCCCCTAGACACTTCCTAGACACTCCCTAGACACTCCCTAGACACCTCCTCGACACCTCCTCGACACCTCCTCGACACCTCCTCGACACCTCCTCGACACCTCCTCGACACCTCCTCGACACCTCCTCGACACCTCCTCGACACCTCCTCGACACCCCGCGACGCCGCCCGTGACTCTGCCGCTCAGGCGCTGCAGATGGTGACCGTGGAATCTCGGCTCACCTCGGCTCACCTCGGCTCATCTCGGCTCATCTCGGGGACAGGAGCTCGAGATGTCGCAGCTAGCAGAGCACCATGCGGCGGAGCCACCAGCAAAGCGGCAGATGCTTGGCGGCGGCGCCGCCGGCAGCGCGGCGGACGGCGCGGCGAGCGTGGGGTACCGCGCAATGACGAGGGAGGAGCACATGGCGGCGGCGGCGGCGGAGGCGAAGGCCGCGGCTGCGGCGGCGGAGCGCGCGGCTGCCGACGCCGCTGAGGCCGAGCGGTCGGCGGAGCAGCAGGCGGTGTTCCGCCTCTGCTCTCAACTACGAACGAGCTACTGACTCACGGCTGGCTAACGCTGCAGGCGGTTGCCGCGTCCGCCTCGAGGCTCGACGCCATCCTGGATGGCTTGCCCGGAGACGCCGCCGAGGGCGAGGCTGGCGCCGACCCAGCTGGCGCCGACCCCTACGCAGAATTCATCGAGAGCGTCGGCGGCGGCGGCGGCGGCGGCGGGGCGGACGGCGGCGCGGCGCGGCTAGAGGCGGACGCGGCGCACGATCTCCCGCCCGGCATCATGCAGCCGAAGCTGCCCGACGGCTGGAGGGAGTACCAGGACCCCGCCACTGGCCACAACTACTACGTGCACGAGGAGAGCGGCGCGTCGAGCTGGTCTCGGCCCAGCCAGGCGGGTAGCTAGCCAGCCGAGCCAGGGGTGCGGCGGTCGCTGCGCTTCCCGGATGATGCGCGCGAGGCCTCCCAGAGGCCCCGCGGCGCGAGCCCTCACCCACTGACGTTCGCGGTTCGGCGTTCGGTCACGGTGGGCGCCAGGCAGGGTTTAAGATCTAGGGAGGTTGACTGTGCATGTGGGAGAGGAGGGCAGCCGGCTCGGCTGTGCGAGAGAGCCGTGAGAGCTCATACGAAAAAGGCAAGGCGGCAAAACTAAACCCCGCTCTGTTTTGGGAACAATCATCAAAAACGACTAAAGAGAGAGAAAAAACAAAAGTGACAATAACATGTCGTAGCAACTAGCATGTGCATGTGCATGTGCATGTGCATGTGCATGTGCATGCTGCGCTTGTGTGGAGTCGCTTGTCATGTGGTGATGTCCCTCTATAATGTCATGGCCACGCCGTCTGTCCCATTCCCTCTTCCTCGGTGTCAACCCGCCCGGACGAGGCCGGTGAGGCGGATGCGCTCAGCTTGGCGGACGCGGAGAGGATGGAGCGCTGCAGCGCGTCCATCTCTGCATCGAGGCTCGCCAGCTCGGCCTCCACGCGGCCAAAGCGCGGCGGCGGCGACTGTGTGCTCCACGCCTCTCTCGGCGTCGCCTCCCGACTGGGCCTCGCGTATGACTCCGCAGATGCGGCGGCTGCGTCCGCCGCTTCGCCGCCCCTCTCGGCCGCTGCTGCGGTCGCCGCGGCGGCGCGTGCGGCGGCGGCGGCGGCGTCGCGCTCCGCGCGCCGCGCTCGCCCTTCCGCGTCGAGGATGCGCGCGTCTGCATCCTCTGCCGCGCGCGCCGCCGCGCTGAGCTCCGCGCGAAGCGTGTGCAAGTCGCCGGTCGCGGCGGCGACGGCGTGCCGGGCGGCGGCGCCGTCCGCCGCCCCGCTAGCTGCCCGCCGCTCCGCCGCACACGCCGCCTCGCGCAGGCGGGCCGCCTCTTGCCCTGTCGAGGAGAGGGCGGCGGCCAGAGTGGCGCACTCCTGGAGGAGGGGGGGGGGGGGGGGGAGGCCCACTCGGACGATATTAGGGGCCCGTCTTCGGCATCCAGGAGGGGCTGCCCTCCTGTTGCAGCGCGAGCCGCTCGCGCCGCTCCTCCTCCGCCGCCCTCTCGGCGACAGCCTTGGCTGCCGCCAGCCTCTCCGCCTCGACGGCGCCACGCCGCTCCACCCTCGCCGCGTCGGCCTCCGCCGCCTGGCGCAGCCTCGCAGCGGCCTGCTGGTACTTTTTGGCGAGCCGCTCGGCGCGCACGCGCGCGGCGCTCGCTGTGCGCGCCTCGTCGCGCGCCTGGCGGAGGGGGTGGGGCGGTGAGGGGTGGGGCGGTGAGGGGTGGGGCATCTGGCGAGGCAGGCCGGCAGGCCGGCACGTGTCTTGGAACGTGTGTCAGAGTGTCTCTCAGGAAGGGAGCACCTGCCGAAGCTCGCGCAGCAGGCCTCCGACCTCCTCCCGGGGAAGCGCGCCGACGCGCCCAGACGGCCTGGCGGCGCCTCGCCCCATGCCAGCGCCTCCCCCCCCTCGCGCCTTCTGCGAGGCCTCTGCGCCTCCTTTGGCAGCACCGTCTCTGCCGGCCCACCGCGCGGCCGCTGCCCCCTCTGCCTCGCGCCGCCCCTCACCGCGGCTCGCTGTGAAGAGACTCGCCCGCGCGGAGCGCCCGTGGGGCTGTGCCGCGCGTCCGCCCTCCGCTGCGCCGCCTGCGCGAGAGTCGACTGCCGCGCCGGCACCCGCTTCGGTCGACCCGAGCCACTGTCGCATCCTCTCTGCAACTTCTGCCCGCACAACTGGCGAGAGAGGCGGCGGCGGAGGCGGCGGCGGCGGCGGCGGCGCCGCCGCCCAGGATGCCCATCGCTCGTCGGGTCGTGGCGATGAGACGAGCTGCGACGGAGGCCCGGGTGGTCCGTCGCCCCGAAGCCGCCTCACGCACGCCAAGATCTCGTCGACTAGCGATCGGAGGGGAGCGTTGGAGACGCCTGAGAGCACTATCGGCTGCAAGTGCAGCGCCAGCTCACGCACTTTTGCATCGACTAGCAGCACATCGCGTGACCGCCGCGCCTGCTCACGGAGCAGCGTCGCCGACTCGGCGGCGTGTCGCTCTGCGGCGCGGTTCGAAGCGTCCATTTCAGCCCGCAAAGTGCGAAGTTGCGACTGCGACGAGCGGTAGCGCGCCTGCAGATCGACCATCTCCTCCTGCGCCGCCGCTGCAGTTCGAACTGCGGCGAGCCTACACGCTTCGCCGCGACTGAGCGCCGCGCGCAAAGCGTGCAGCTCCTGTCGCCGACGCCGTGCCAGCGTTGACGGTGCCTCCGACGCAGACGAGGAGGAGGAGGAGGAGGCGCAGGAGGCCATGTATTTGTCACTGCCCGCGCCGCGCAGCTGCTGCCCGCGCGCTTTTTTTAGCCGACGTAAAAAGAATTTTACGTCGACTCCCTCGCACAACACTGGGAACGGGACTGGCGTAAAAAGAAAGTTGATTTAGCTGTCCCATCTCCTCATCTCTTTCCCGCCTGGGGCGGAGCGGTGGCCGGGCGAGCGGTGCTGGACGGCGTGTGCGTGGTGACTGCGACGAGTGTGACTGCGACACGGGACCATTGGGTTTGTATTATTAACGACGACAAGGCGCTCTCAAAAAGAAAGATTTTTTTGCTGCGAGTCCCCTGTTTCCCTAACGGCTAGCACCACACTCCTCTCCTTAAAATCCCTGTGTGGTGGCGGCGTCCTCCCATCCCTCCCTTGGGTTGTGCGTTTTCTTTCTTTTCTTTCTTTCCCTGATCGTCCTTCCAAAATCCTGCTCGTGCAGGTAGGAAAAACCCTCTCCTCCCCCATCCGTCGTCTGGCTTCTGTGTTTTCTTTCTTTCTGGGAGGACGGCACGCCGCCACCACACAGACCATCTGCACAATCTAAGTGAACATAGGGTCTAGCGGTACTACTAGTCTAGTGTACTACTGGACAGCATGCTCAATAGTTGAGCTCGACAGGCCGACACAGGAGAGAACTCGGTAATCGCACCATGCGAAGACCAAGCTCATGTGCCGTGCGATGCGCGCGGGAAAAAATGGCCCAGCGCAGAGCTCGGTGGTTGAAATCGCCAGTCACAGGCTGCGCCTCGGCTGTCGGCAAGCACCAGCGCCTGCTCCGCATGCCTGCGAAAGACGACCGTCAGCGACGCTCCCAGCCCGCCCTGGCCGCACAGGTCTCTGCTCCACTGACGATGCAGTCCGCATTAGCGCACGAGAAAGGGCCACCGACCCGGTAGGGAAGGAGTCTGTTCAGCTGCAGGAGCTCGCCAATGTAGTCGTACGACAGCGTGTGGCCCGAAAGCTTGTCGCCTGGGTGCTTGTGGTGCGACATGTGGTCCGCCGTGCGGACAAGGACGCGAGGCAGCCACCGGGACGCCTCCTCCACAGGCGGGAAGTGCATCAGGAGGTTGTGGCCCATCACGACAACCAATGACGCCTGCAGGGTGGCCCGCGAGGGCTTGAGCAGAACCATCCCGGGGCCAAACGCGGAGATGTACGCGAAGATGAACTCGAGCGGCGACACGGCGAGGGCGGTAGATGGCGAGACTGACTTGCCCCTGAATCGATGGTGAAACTGGTGCACGAAGAAGAGGCCCGGCACCTTGTGAAAGGCGGTATGGGAGAGGTAGTACCACAGCGAATGAAGCAGCACTACCACCGCTACCTCGAGCGCGTCCACCGTTCCCACGCTCCAGTCGAAGCCGCCAGGGCCGTCACCTCGGCGGATGAAAAAGTTTGGCCATGAGCAGACGGATACGTAGATGGGGACGCCGAGCAGAAGGGCGTTGTAAACGTTTCGCCACCACGCCTGCAGGTAGAGGCTCTTGCCGCCAGCCAGAGAGCGGAGATGCCTCACGTTCGAGAGAGAGGCGCACTCTAGCAGCGCCGTGAGCAGCAGCATCGAGACGGCCATGGTTGTGCCCTCGCGTGCAAGGAGCACGAAGAGCTGCGCGTTGATCCTCGTGGCAAGGGTGGCGAAGAAGAGCACGCCCAGGTGGCGACCCAAGAGGCGGCGACCCAACCAGCCAGCCATTTGAGGAGCTGGTAGGACGTGCGTGGTGTCAGCCATTTGAGGAGCTGGTAGGACGTGCGTGGTGTCAGCCATTTGAGGAGCTGGTAGGACGTGCGTGGTGTCGGATGGAGTCGCTGTCCTCGCGTTTTTTCTTTCCTTTTCCCGGCACCCCTTTTCCCTCTCCGCGTAACTTGCGCCCCTTTTGATTTTTTCCCTTTCTACCCCTTTTTTATGAGTACCTTGAATAATCGCCGCGGAAACCCTTGTAACAGAACCATACACATGACGAGAGAACGCGGAAGGAAGGGAGGGGGAACTAACTCGCTAGGGACGTTGCTTGCTCAAGGTCTCTTTCTATTTTGTTTGTGTTGTTGTGCGCTGTTTGTTACAAACAAACAAACAGGATCATAACTTTAAAAATCATTGTTGTTTGTGCACTTGTGTTTTGTCGCCATTGTGGGGGCTGGGGCGGGGGGGGGGGGGGGGGGCGACAGGGGGGACGCGGCCATGGACGCGGCCCCGAGTAGAGCGTTAGTGCCGTACGCTCACTCGGGAAGTCAGGATGTGTGGCAGCCCAGCTGGCTGTGTGTGTCTTGTGAGTTTTTGTGTGCCTATGTGTCCGGGCTCCAGCGTGCCGTCATCCTCCCCTGTCTCGCGTCCACGCATACCGCGTTGATCTTTTGAGTTCATCTCTGGTAGGACGGGAACGAGATGATAGTAGGGAGTAGAAGAAAGCAAAGAGGAGCCCTGCGCACGCACGACTCCGCAGGAGAAGCCCCTCCCGCCCGTGCTTGCGCAGCGCAGCCTCCTCCTTTGAGAGAGAGATGTCATCTTTTGATGTCGCATGTGAATGAATGTCCAGTCCCCGAGCGCCGAGCCGCTGGCTGTTCTCACCTTCGTGCTTCGACATGTACACACACAGTCTCTTGTACCTGCAGCACAGTACACCACTCGTGCGTGCTGCGTCGTGGCGCTAGCCTACTCCCGCCCCCACATGCAAGTATCGCGTGTCTCAGTCGCGCAGAGTGACGGCAGAGGGTGTGTGTGAGAGAGGTCGGGCCGCGGCCCCGGCGGCCGCGCGGCCGGGGCGGGGGCCGGGGGGGGCCCCACAGCCACACGAATGTGCCGAGAGATTTTCACCGCGCGGTACGGTAGCAGAAAAAATGCTACCGCACATCTGGCTTCCCCCAGCTCCCGTTGCGCTCCCTCCCCCACTCCGCGCAGAGCCCCTTCTCTCCCAGTCCGGGGAGGCTCACGACTAGTCTTCGCCGCGGCGCGGCACCTTTGCAGGCCCGCGCTCGCCGTCCGGCGCGTCCCGCCCAGACGACATCTGGCGTGCCAGCTGCTCGCCTGCGGAGGTGGGTGCATGCGTGGCGGACATATGGGTGCGTGCGTGGAGGAGTGGTGGGAGCCGCGCGCCCTCTGCCGGCTGCGGCTGCGGCCCTTCAACCGCCGGCTGCGGCTGCACGTATTCAACTGTACTCGGCTGCGACCCCTCGAAGGACGGCTGCAGCTGCGGCTGCGGTGGCGGCGGGTGCACCACCGGCATCGGCACGGCCGCCGGCGCCATGGCCGGCGCCACGCCCGGCGGCGGCGCCTGCATGGCCGCCATCTGCTGGAACTGCATATGCGGCTGAAGCTGCATCTGCTGGAACTGCATTTGCTGCGGGAACGGCATCTGCGGCATCTGCGGCATCGGCCCGTCGAACCGCTGCTCCAGCCGCCCCAGCCGCGCCCGCAAGTCCGCGTTCTCTGCGCGCGTCTGGTCGAGCAGCCTGCGCGTCTCGAGCAGCATCTGGTGCAGGTCGCTCATGTTTGGCGCGCCGGAGCCGTGCGAGCGCTTGACAACCGTCGTCGTCGTCGCCGCGTGCGTGGCCGCCACGATCGGCGGCGGCGGCTCGGCGGCCACGTCGTCCTCGACGATCCGCTCCGCCAGCAAGCCCATGCCCGGAGCGCCCGCGTCGAGGCCGATGGCGAGCCGGTCTGCGCGTGCGTCGCCCGCGCGGAGACGGAGGCGGGTGAGCCCTTTGAAGGGCGGCGAGAGCACCATCAGGTTGGGCGCGTGCGCGAGCTGCTCGACAGACAAGTCGGGTGACCTCGGGTGATCTCGGGTGACCTCGGCTGATCTCGGGTGATCTCGGGGTGGTCAGCCTGCTCGACGGGCAGGTCGAGCTGCACGAGGAGAGAGAAGCGCCGATTGTTGACTTTGGAGGAGAGCGCATTCTTGCCGAGCTTGAGCGTGAAAGTGGCGATCCCGTCCGGCTTGACCGCCACCGGCTGGGCGGGCGACCCATCCAGCCCCACCTGCTCGGGAACGAGTCCTCCATTAACATGACGGCCGCAGGTGGTCTCAGGGCGACCCCGCCAGCCTCACCAGCAGAGGCGAGCGCGCGTCCTCTTGCGAGAGGAAAGGCTGCACCGCCTGCACGCCGGCGTCCGGCGACTCGACCACCAGCGAGACACGAAGCATGAGCCGCACCATCGGCGGCGGGTGGCCCTCCGAGGTCCGCACCGCGACCTTGAGGCGGAAGGGCCGCAGGTTGGAGACCTCGTTCTCGGTCTGGCCGGAGGCTGGCTCTGTGACCTGTGCGGTCAGGGGAAAGGGGGGGGGAGGGGGCAGGTAGGGACAGAGGGGTGAGGGGTCGGGTCGAGGATGCCTCTGCAGAAGGGGAGAAGGGCGGGAGCTAGACGAGCGGGCGCAAGGGGAGGGGCGCGGGAGACAAGCCGAGGCGAGGATAGAAGAGGGGGGGGAGGAGGGGGGGGGGGGGGGGAAAAAAGGGGAGGGGGCCCCTTTTGCAACCTGAGGCGGGCATCGGTTTGCGCACTCTCGCCCCGTCTCTCAGCCCCCACCCACCCTGGTCTGTCACCCTCAGCGCTCTTCGTCAGCCGGTCGGCGGCCGGCGTGTGGGGTGCGTGGCGTGTGGGTGTGCGTCGCGTGGGGCCGTGCAAGCAAGGGGAGGTGGAGAGGGGGGTGGGGGAGAGGGAGGGGGTCGGGACGCAGGGGGTGGATGGGAGGTGGAGAAGGGGGTGAGGGAGAGGGAGGGAGGAGGAGGAGGAGAGGAGACGGTGACGTGGAGTGGGTGGTCGGGGGTGAAGTTTTGTTGTGGTGGAGATGCGCTCTCACCGTCCTGTGAACCTCCTGGTCCACAAACCGGATGCGGAGGTCGGAGAAGTTGGCCGCGGTGAGCGCGGCGGGCATGGTCGGCTGCGCATCGCCCGGTGCGCCCCCCAGCTCCGCGAGCAGCCCCGCCGCGCTCCGGTCATTTGAGCTGCCGGACAGCGCCGCGAGTGTCGCAGCCGGGTCCCAGTCAGACGTGTCCGCCTTGACTCCCGAGGGGGGGCCGTCGAGCGAGTCCTCGGCGCAGCGAAGGGAGTGGGCGGTGGAAAACCCCGGCGCGCTCGCGCTCCGCCCCGGCGGGATGCACAGCGCCGGCAGCGGCGCCGCCATAAGCGCTGTCTGAAGCGGCGCTGCGACTTGGAGCGGCGCGGTGGGCCTCGGGAGGGTGGAAGGCACGACGAGGCTGGAGAGCAGGCTGCTCTCCGTGGAGACGGGGGCGCCCGCCTGCGGAGGCTCCTGCCCTGAGGGCATGAGCGGCATTATGATCGAGCAGGTAGAGGTTTGTGAAATTCGGGCATGCGTCCCGGGGACGCTCACTGGCTCCGTCGTCCCCGGACAGCACAGAGGAAATTTTTTTCGCAGAGGATGTCGTAGGTATATTGGCCTTGAGTTATGTGTACGCCTACTCAGGGTGTGTGGCAGCCCGCTGGCTGTGTGTCTTGTGAGCCTGTTTGTGTCTGTGTGTCGCTCGTGCGTGCCGTCATCATCTGTCTGTCCAGCGTCCATCCACACACCCATACCGCGTTGGTTGGTGTCCAGTCCGAGCCTGGCTGTTCTTCACCTTCCTACAACATACATACATACAGAGACCCAACGTATGCGTGGCGAATACAGGTGTAATACGCGTCTCCGGAACTGCCGAAATTGCGCATACAGGGAGACATACAGCGCTCAGCGGGAAATACGCTTAGCAAAACACCTCTAATAGCTTGAGCACTAAGGGCGCGGGGAGGCTGCCGAGTCGTTTGACCGTTTAAGACCGTTTAAGGAATCGGCGGCCCAGCAGCTCTTAAAACTTGCCTAGGCAAGTTTTAAGCCGTTTAAGCCGCAGGCGCCCCAGGGCCCACCCTTTTAAGCCTAGGGGTCCCCTAAGGTCAGCTCTGGCGAGAGAGGCTCGATCCGGAGAGCCCCTGAGCCTGGCGCGCGGTCCGCTCGCGCCGCCCACGCCCCACCGACGCGCGCCGAGGGCAGGAACCCAGGATCTCGTTTCAAACGGATGATTGATGGCCCCTTGTCGCAGTCACACACACACACACAACAACAAACATCACACACACACACACACACACACACACACACACACACACACACACACACACACACACACACACACACACACACACACACACACACACACACACACACACACACACACACACGCCGCACCGCGCCGCGCGCACACGCCCACCGCCCCGCCAACTCGAGTACTAATTAGGTTAAGGTTAGGTAGGAAGGTGAAGAACAGCCAGGCTCGGACTGGACACCAACGCCGTATGGGTGGACGCTAGACAGATGATGACGACACGCATGAGCGACACACAGACACAAACAAGCTCACAAGACACACAGCCAGCTGGCTGCCACACACCCTGAGTTGGCGTACACATAACTCAGGGCCACATCCTCCCTATCGCCCCCCCAGCACCCACGGTGCCAAGGACACAAACAAGGGCACAACAACACAACAGACGACAGGAAGTAACATGTGAGACTAGAGCAGGCTCTTGCTCCGCCTCTAGCAATCTCGCCGACCGCGAGGCCGGACAGGGAACAAACAAGGGCACAACAACAACAGACGACAGGGAGGAACGTGCTAGGCTAGAGCAGACCGCTCCGCCTCTAGCAATCTAGCCGGCCGCAAGCCCGGACAAGATCGTGTGTGGGGTCTTGTGAGGTGTCTATGGACGCTCCCTCACAGGCTAGCCGCCTACTGCTAGCCCTAACTCGCACTCATGGGTGGTGTCAGTTCATTGTATGAGTGCATGCGAGCAGAAGCGCGTGTGCTGATTCTAGATCGCACGCCGTGGCATATGACTTGGGGAGGCGTGCGACCGCAGCGCACCCGTCGTAAGGTCGACGGGCGCGCGTGTCAGCGAGAGAGTTGCGGGCGGAGCCCAGCCGTACCCGACTTTTTCGAGGACGAGCGCACGAGCCCCGCGCCACGGTTGCCAGCCGTGCCTTCGCGGGAGCCGTCCCTCGAGCCGCGTCCCGTCGCCACTGTCCCTGAGTGCGTCCCGCCTTGTGGCGGCACACACTCGACGAGGACAGTCCGGCCGACGGGAGTGTCGCGCGCCGGCGACGATTGCGGCGTGGTGGGTGTGTGTACGAAGCGACGATGGCACGACCACCTCCCTGCATCGCAGACCGGGCAAGGAGGGGCCTGCTCGCGTTCCGCGGAACAGGAGATCTCTTCCCATCCCCCGGCCTGAGCAGCTACGGGTGGAAGGCAGCCCCTTGAGTCGAGGGCGGCGCGACCACTGCTCCGCTCCAACGGCCAGAGACCGAGGTACTAATAGTGTAGTAGGGTGAGAAATATGAAAAACTCGAGTAGCAAAAAAAGTCTCGCTGCCATCTCCGCACGCTCACGCCGCGAGCATTAAAATCCCGGAGAGACAGCAGTGCGGCTCTTTCTTTCTTTTCACTCGACCCATTCGCCTGCATGGGTGTTTGTACCTACATACTAGAACATACATCATGAGAGAACACAACACCTCTCCCTTTTCTCCCAGGAAGCTAAAAGCCGGTATAAATTTCTTTTTCATCGAACATTCATTTTCACTCGACTGCCCTTGTGCACCGGTACCCGGGCTGCTGGGGCGAGCCTCGGCGAGACTGCGTCAGCTGTTCCCACAGCAGGCTGGAAGTACCTCGCCAGTACCCGGGGACCTATGCTCTGCCTCCTGCTCGCCCCGGCGGCGCTAGCGGCTCCGACCGGTGCCGCGCTCATCTACTGCGACCCGGTCGGTTACGAGGGCCGCTACTTCCGCGAGGCCTGCGAGGCCCGAGGCGTCCTCCTCGTGCGGCTCTGGTCCACGCCCTATGCAGCGATGCTGTCTGAGGACCTCGAGGACGCGGAGGAGAGAGCCGCGATCCAACGCGGCTGCGCGCCTGCCGCCGGCGAGGAGGCTGCTTGGGCCGAGAGTGCGTTGAGCGGCATGGCCATCACCGGGGTGCTGTGCGGTTCCGACGCCGGCCTGGCGACGGCGGAGCGGCTGCAACACGCCCTTGTGCCGGCTCGCACCAACGGGCTCGTCCCGGCCCGCCGGGACAAGTACCTCATGCATGAGGCTCTACGCACTGCCGGCCTGGCGGCGGCGCGGCAGTCCGTGGCGCGGAGCTGGGAGGAGGCGGAGGATGCTAGGTGCTGAACACGCATACTCGGCTGCACTGCATTCCATCGCATTCCACGCCGAGGCATGATTAGATGAGGGATTAGAGCAGTGGCCCTGCTCCTCGCGCAGAAGCGCCGAGTGCTCTGCTCGGCCCAGTGCTCTACGGCGGAGTGTCACGTGGTGTGTCGGTGTCGGATCTCTGTCGGTGCTCCACACCGCAAGCGCGCTCCTTCCTCCTACCGTACCCGAACCCACCCTCCCCTACCCCACGGTACCCGAACCCACACCGCAGGCGCGCTCCTTCCTCTCGACGCTGCCCCCGCCGCTGCGTGTCGTCCTCAAGCCGCGGCGGGGGCACGCCGGCCTGCGGGTCGGGCTGGCGACCCGAGTATTTCTTTTCGCCCACTGTATTTCTCTTTCATAGGCACGCCGGCCTGCGGGTCGGGCTGGCGTCGAGCGAGCCGCAGGCGCGCGCGAGACGCTCGAGACGCCACTCCGAGTCACTGCTCGCATATGGCTAACCCTCACCCTCACCCTCACCCTAAGCAACCCACACTCAGCCCGTTCACACCAGCGCAGCTACGGCACTGAGACCGCGTCCCCTACCCAACCGCTGTGAAGAGCTGATGAACCCACACCGTGCGGCTGACTCAGATGAGAGACTGCAATCCCTGCCACGCACCACCAACCCTCACTTGACCGGCTGACACTGCGCCCCCCCCCTCCAAAAGAAATCACTATGGCCCGGGCCCCCCTACCCTGGGTGTGTGTGAACAAACCCCCGAACCCACACTCCCTAGCCGGCCCATACCCTGACACTGCTGTGAACAGGTCCTAACATTGCTCAGTGGACGCGCGTCCCCTGTGGGTTCCCCCTCCCTGGGGGTAGGGGATCCCGCGCCCAGTGCATATGGGAGACTACCCGGTATCGGGGCACCTCCGAGGCACTCCCGTCCGCAGGCGAGGCACATGGTGGAGACGCTGCTGGCGGAGCGCGTCTCGCTCGACACCGAAGCGGAGGGCGGCGCCCTCTGCCAGGAGGTGGGCTTCGCCGAGACTGGCCGAGACTCGCCGGAGGGCGGCAGGAGGAGGAGAGGGAGGGCGGCAGGAGGAGGAGAGGGAGGGCGGCAGGAGGAGGAGAGGGAGGGGGGCAGGAGGAGGAGAGGGAGGGGGGCGAGCTGTGGTCGACTCGCCTCGCCGAACGCCGTCGGATAGGTGTGCTCGAGGGCGGGAGAAGGAGCGCAACGCGCGCCTCTGAAAAAGAAGCACACGCGGAAAAGAAGTGCGACTAGGTGCTCGAGGGCGAGGAGTGGGTTGTCGACACAGTGAGCCGCGCCGGCGAGCACAAGTGCGTCGCGCTGTGGCGGTACGGCAAGGGCGAGGCGAACGGTGCGCCTCGCCGCAACAGCAGACAACCCCCGCAACAGCAGACAAGCCCCGCCGCCGCGCCGACCACCCTACAGCCACGGGACCGAACCCACACTGGATTCGAGACTCTGGAGGGTATGGTACCAGGCCGCCCTGCGCGAGCTTCGGCGGACCGCGGCTAGGCGCGCCCTTTGTCAACTTTTACGACGAGCTGCGGCCGTGTGCGGGCGAGGGGGAGGAGCGACTGGTCAGATACGCACTGGCCGGCATCTAGCCGCGACCGAGAGAGAGCCGGCATCTAGCCGCGATGTGGGCGAGATCCAAGGCGCGACCACCTCTCGGCGGGACCTCGGCTGCATCCGGCTCCGACCCGGCTACACCTCGGCCACAGGCTGGACTCGACACCCTACAGCCACGGGACCGAACCCACACTGGATCCGAGACTCTGGAGGGTACGGTAGGCTGTGCTCGACACCCTCGGCTGGCGGTGGGGCCCAGCCCACATCGAGGTCAAGCAGACAAGCCGCGGGCCGGTGCTGGTCGAGGTCAACGCGGGCCGCTTCAACGGCGGCCGCGTCGGGGGCACTAGCACACCCGACACTCGTCTCTAGCTATGCATGTGGAGGCAGTGGTAGCGTGCACATGCACATGTGCATGCACATGTGCATGTCATGCATTCCTCGCACTTGGAATGGTCAGTCGGTGGACAACGCGCCCTCCCCCGTGCCCCCCCCAACGCCGCTCTTCTCTCGGTGCTCCAGGCACCTCCTCGTGACCATGATCTGCTCGCCGGGCCGGACGGACACACCACGGCTCACTCGCGACGCGGGCGGCGTAGGCGTCGACTTTGGGCTGCTCGCCGACGTGTGCGTCGGGCACAACGCGTACGACGTGACGCTCGACGCGTACTTCGACCAGGCGGCGTGGGCGGCGCTGCCCGCTCTGCCGCCGAGGGCGCTGCGAGGCGCCGGCCGGGGCTGGTGAGGCTGCTCGCGAGACTGGCCGAGGCTACCCGCGATTGTCCCCGAGAGTAGGAGCCGGCCGGCTGGTGAAGCTGGTCGCGAGCGAGGAGGGGGTGCTGCGCGCGGCGGTGCCGCCGCCCGCCGGGCCGCGGTCCTTTTTTTCTTTGTGAGGCGGCGGTGTTTCTCTTTTAGGCCCTCCCGCCCGCCGGGCTCGAGTCGCTCGTGCGCTGGGGCCCGGAGCCGAGTGAGCCCGGCGAGCCGGTGGCCCTCACGGTGGACAACAACTCGTGCGCCGGCTACGCGTGGCTCCTGCACGCCGACGAGGCGGTGGTGGCGGCCGATTGCGCGGCGCTGCACGAGCTGCAGGCTGCGGGGCGGTTGTTTGACGTCGACTCGGCGTCAGGCGCGGAGAGCTGACCCGCGCTGAGACTGCTCCGGTGAGTGTGTGTGTGTGTGTGTGTGTGTGTGTGTGTGTGTGTGTGTGTGTGTGTGTGTGTGTGTGTGTGTGTGTGTGTGTGTGTGTGTGTGTGTGTGTGTGTGTGTGTGTGTGTGTGTGTGTGTGTGTGTGTGTGTGTCACGTCACTGCATCCTCTGCCGGTTCCTCCCGTCGCCTCTTCTTTGTTCGAATGTGTTTCAATCCACCCTTCACGAAGCCCTCCCATGTAGCTAGCGTTCTTTGCGAATGTCTCGAAATGGCCATCAGGCGCTGTCTGCTCGCAGTCTGTGCGGGCCGCTCGTCCTCCTCGCCCTTCTTTCGTCCTCCCGTCCCTCCCCTCCACCATGGCCTTCTCGGCACTTCTTTCTCCATCCGCCTCGCCCTGCCTTTTCGTATCGTGCCGTTCGCCCTCCATTCGGTGACCTCCATGGCTGTCCGCCTCCTTTTGGGTGGCGCTCTCGATACCGTTGCGTCAACCTCGACGTCGCTGTCGCCTTCCCCGTGACCCCGCCGTCGCCCGTGCCTCGGTTCGCGTCATCGGTAGCGTCTCCGTTGTTCCCTCGTCCCGTGCCTCGCCGTCGCCCTCTTGGCTCGGGCCGTTCGCGCGATTTCGCTCCTCCTGCGTGTCGCCCCTCCGTCTCCTCCCGTTCCTTCGTCGTCATCGTCGCTGTCGCGAAAGCCCTCCGGCCCCTCGATTCCCTCGTCTATCCCCTCCCCGCTGCGTCGCCCCAGTTTATATCCCCATCCTCTGCGCACGTCGCGTTGGCTTCCTCTCTCCCACTTTCCTCCCTGCCCCTCTCGCTGTCCGGTGTTAGTGGACCCCCTTCCTCTCCCTCGCCATCGTCACCGTCACTGTCCTCGTCGCCGCCA